TTTTTTTTTTTTTTTTTTTTTTTTTTTAAAGAGAAGAAAGTGACCTTGGTACAGGTTTAGAATCCAACCAGCAATTATTTGTTACTTAAATTAGGTCACAATCTCAGCTCCTAGATCCTACATAGCAGTAGAATACAGAAATGTCTTTTGTCATCTGTAACTACCCATGATAGTTCAGTGTTCAACCTTTTGGCTTTTTGGGCCAGCTGAGTAGTGTCGGTCCCTCCTCAGGCCAGATCAGAACCTGCATGCCAGGATCAGACCAGCACACCTGGATTGGGCTCTGTATGACCTCAGCTGGTCCCCATGCACTGGGATCAATCCTCAGGCTGCCTCTACTGAACCCCATGTGCTGGGATCAGGCCTGAGGTCCCTAAACCACCTCCTCTGGCCCCGCACATCAGGATCAGGGTCTTGAAACTCTATACTACCTCCACCTGGCTCTGCACACTATGGTCAGGCCTTGGGCTGCCCTGCAAGCCTTATTTAGCTCACAGAGCTACAGCCCACAGGGATCCCCATATATTGGATGACATGGCACTAGAGACTGGAACTGGCCCACGGGCTGAAGATTTAGGACGCCTAATCTATTACCTTGAGCCTTCTTTTTAATATGTAGACATTATCACTGTTATCTACAGTGGTGTAGACAGTACCTGAGGATCACCCTGAAAGTCACTTGAACTTTCAGCTGGTACACCTGAGCTTGTCTTAATTAGGGCTCTTGTACAATAGCCTTTTCTTACTTTTCAGTTGATCCTCTGCCCTTGCTACCCATTAAATTCCAGGTGAAACTTGTGGTGCTGGTTACCATGTTTAAATCACTAGGTAGCCAGAATCATTCACCATATTCTTTGACCCACCATATGAACTGCATTTTAAAAAAATGTTTGGTTTTATTCTAGAGGGAAGCCTACTAATACAAAAGATATGGGCATTCTATTCTCATTCCCACCCCCTCTCCTCTGAAATCCTCTTTGTAAAGAAGTTGCATCTGAGTCCAAATTCAGCCAAATTGAATATGTGATGTAGAATTAATCTTTGTTTGAGCTTTAATTTACTGACTGCTTCTGGAATCCCCTATCATTTACCCCCTGTTTATATAAGCATTGGGTTGGAGTTCTGAGATACAACTTTCTCATAGGTTCATGAGTCCCATCTGTCCTTGTGCTTCAGTTTTGAGTCCCTGAACTGAAGAGTTGGCCACAACCCATCTCTATTCCTCTTCCTTGCAAGGGGAAAGAAGTGGTACAATCAACAGAGGGAACCCTCCCTTCCACTTTTCTTTTCTACTTAGGAGTGGAAATATATGTCCATAGGCACTGCCCTGAGCCTTCTCAACAAAGAAAACCTGCAGCCATATTTGGAAGCTCGTTTTGCTACTGTATGCTCAGGTCCATGCTTTCTGCTGACCTCACTCCAGTTACCCCTGTATTGGAATCTATGGGAATTTATACAGATAAGGTTGTCTGCTCCAACATGCCAGAAATCCATTCTGTTGGAGAAGATTCGATTAATTGAGTCTGCAGAGAATGTAAACTGATGCACCCGCTGCTGCGCCACATCCATTTGTATAAACAGCAAAATGCATGTTAGTGCTAAGAAAATGGTGGTGGTAAGTTCAAAAGTGCACCGCTGCCATTTTCTCAGCACTGACGTGTATTTTGCTGTTTATACAGATGTATGTGACACAGCCCCGGGCACTTTTAAAAGTGCCCAGCGCTGTGTTGCGTACACGTGTGCATGTGCCATTTGGAACTTGTTGCACGTTAATTTTAGGCAGCTGCTGGAGATTGTCCACACGTTAACACCTGACACTAGTTATAAGCATTCTTTAGGTGGCTTAAATTATGCCACATCACAGCAGGTTTATCTCTGACCCATGTTACGCAGCTTGTATTACATTAATGTGCATCACCGTAGGCTATGCATTACTGTAAACACTGCCCGCCGCCACTGCCCCCTTACTTCTCTTTCTGGTTCAGATCAGTTACTGCCTTCCCTCCCCAGCATCCCAGATCCCTGCTTACTGCTCCACCTGCTTGGTTGTTGCTTCCTGTGCCACCTGTCCTCGGGGGGGTCGGGGAGGGGCAGGTAGGAAAGGGAAGGGAAGAGTTAACCTGCCTGTCCAGGCACTGCCACCACCCCTGGTGCTCTCTGGGCTTGGGTCAGCCTGAATAAGAGAAGCATCCCAGTGGCAGTAGCAGCGGGGGCCAGGCAGACGGGTTAACCCTACCTTGCTTGCTCCCCTGGG